TTTCTTTATCTTTTTCTGGCGTTGTTTACCTTCCCGACAGCAGTCAAGTTTCGTTCCATGATCAGTTTTGCTCCTTCCCTGTTTGGCAGGTAGCCTAAAGGCAGAGAGGGTGAATGGTACCAGAGATGCAACGACGGTTCCGTGGGGACAACGCCAAAACAGCATCAGCACCAAGCTGTTGCAGTTTAGTACCTCGTCCTGCAGCACGACACCCACCGCTGTTGAGGAGTGCTACGATGTGAAGGTTCACCAGCGAACGGCCGTGGTTAATTGGCGTACGCTGACCTTTCAACCACCAGACACACCACGTTTGTAATCGTCAGGTTTAGGGTGTTTCCCTGCTGCAATTGCGTATTTTTTTTCCGACTTCATTTCTACGCCTCCGTTTACCCCGGGGAGATTGAGTTGTTTTGCCTGGAATCTTCGGTACATACTTTACACCAGAGTGTTCTTAGGCGGATGAAATGTTTCTACGCATTTATTGATGGTCGTGTTCTTTTTTCTCTGGTGGGACAGCGTTTCTTCTCGCACTTTCTTCTGCATGGTACTCAATTACTCGTTGCGTGGTGCGCGTGATGACCGCTCAAAAATCTCTGGGACTTGCTCTTTTTCAGGGGCCTGCAAATCCGAACAAAAAAACAGTCAGATTTTAGTGCATGAAAACTAACAGGAACAACTTTCTAGCGGGGGTGTATTCCTCTTTGATTCATCATGCGGAACACACAAAAGTCCCACAGACCATGGGCAACACGAACACACAAGAGAGAGCGATCAAGCGCAGCGGAGTACAGCAGTAGGGCCTGCAGCAAAAACGCGACAAATAATACATTATGCAACAGAGCACACGCTCACGCACGCGCGAAAAGTCAGAGCGACAACACAAACAAAAACGCACATGGATGCAAAAATCCAGCCCAATTATTCAGGTTGTACGCGAAACCGGCACTTCCTACCAAACGTCCTGACATTGATTGACCATGCCCTCTTGTGTCGCCCCCGGGAGGCAAACTCCCGAAGCACGACGTTTCTTCACGGAAACAACAAATGTCACCCAAACAACAACATCCCGCAGATATTGTACCATTGCGTTTCCCTATAGACTCACCAACAGCACGCCTCGATTCACAAGGATTTTTTGCGCGATCTCCAGGACATCGATACCGGACGTGGCGAACGTAATCATATCCACCACATAAGTGATGAAATTCTCGTGTACGTTCTGTCACCGAAATATAACGCGGGAGGACGGGCACGGGCGCGATTTAGAGACTGAACTACAACTAGAGTAAAATATATTTTCTGCAGATAGGGATGGATCTCTTGTTGTGTCACACTAAATAACTACCTTCTTTCATAATAACACAACGATCTTTCAAGAAATCTGTTTGAATCGTTCATGTATAGGATATGAACGTATGTATGCACTTTTTTCAATTTCAAACGGTCGAGCGTTTGTTTCCCGCTCATTGTTGAAAAGATTGTGGACATCGGTAACCTGGCGGGATGAGTTGAAGTAGTGCGTATTAGACGGAATTGGTAAACGCGGCATACAGTAAGGTAGGGGAGCGACAGCAATTCGTTTGTACCACATTGCAGTTCAGTCTTGTGTGTGGGGACTCAGCGAGACGAATGGCGGTATCATCGGCATTATCATTTATCATCAACATCAGCAAGAAGCAGGTTTCAAGGACTTCCCTGCTTTTCACCTATATACGAGTGTGTGTAGTTTGAAGACACGCAAAAAACACTTGACGGTTGACGGCGCGTGCGAACAGACTCTGTATGTGGGTCAGCGGCTTAGCGGTCGATACAAGTTGGTGATGCACGCAACCCGATGCCGAGCACTAGGGAGGATGTCCCTTCTACACCTACCCCCTCTCTTTTTCTCTTCCCCTGTCTATCCGTATGCTCTCTCTCTCTCTCTCTCTCCCTCTCTCTCTCCCACACATGCACGCACACACCCTCTCCCTCTTTCAAACAACCACCCTGGTCGCTGTCTCACTCTCTCACTCTCTCACCTCATCATGTTCGGGTGTGGGGGTTTCACGCAGAAACCGCCTCGCGTCTTCAACGAAGTACTTGGTACTCAGTTGTGGACGGTGGCCCGGCTTGCCGACGTCCTCCCGCTTTTTCTTCTTGCCCTTTCCACGCTGCTTCTTCTTCTTCTTCTTCTCCTCCTCCTCCTCCTCCTCCTCCTCCTCCTCCTCCTCGTCCTCCTCGTCCTCCTCGTCCTCCTCCTCCTCCTCGTCGTCTCCGCTGGACACGGCAATCGTTCGCCGCTTCTTCTCTTGTTGCTCCCGCCCCCTGTCGCTCTGAGATCCCTTGCTGCTGCTGCCTTGGCTGAGGGATAAACTTGATCTCTTTTCTTGGCCGTGGACTTCCTTTCCCCGCGTTCGGCTTCGGCTTCCTGGTTCGCTCTAACCTTCGGCGACGGGTTTCGAGGCCGCGGGTGGGGTCGACTCATTATTTTTCTCGCCGCGTGGACGGCGGGGCGGGAGGGACGGGAGGAGGGCAGATGGTGCTCGTGGCAGATGCGTATCGCCAATTCTTGACCAATTTAAGCAGGGGGTCCGCAGATATACCCCATGTCAAAATATGTGGTACTAGAAATAAAGTAGGAAACCAACTGCGTACCTCGGCGGCCTTTGTTGGCCTTGGCCTTGTGCAAGCCTCGCTTGCTTGGCCGGAAAGCCGAGGATCTCTCTTCCTCCCTGCCTGGCGTGGTTCACGCCATTGCCTTCTTCCTCATGAGTACGACAAATTCTAGTGGGAGGCGTTTGGGCAGAGGTTTTTGGTGCCAATCTTGCAATTTGAGATTTTCCACTAAGCGCAACTTGGATCGACATCACCGGAAGAAGTCGTCGTGTCGGGCAGCCAGCACGAGGAGCTTGGAAGAGGTGCCGCCCTGCTCCAAGCGTCGCCGCAGGTCCGAAAGGGAGTCAGATGCAGGAGCTTCAAGTTACGACGCTGGCAGCGAGGCGGACGACGATCATGGTTCTATCGATGATATGGACACCGGTGCTCTTCCAGGCAACAACAACGCCGGCAGCAGCAGCGATGACCACGCCCGCGGCGGCGGCGGCGGCAGTAGCAGCAGCAGCGACGACGACGATGACGGTGGTGGCGGTAGAAGCAGCAGCAGCAGCAGCAGCAGCAGTAGCAGCAGAAGCATCGACGAAGGCGGCGGTGGTAGCAGCAGCAGCAGCAGCAGCAGAAGCAGCAGCAGCAGCAGCAGAAGCAGCAGCAGCAGAAGAATCAACGAAGGCGGCGGTGGTAGCAGCAGCAGCAGCAGCAGCAGCAGCAGCAGCAGCAGCAGAAGGCGAACCAACAGCAGCAGCAGCAGCAGCCGTAGTAGTAGTAGTAGCAGCAGCGGTGTGGGTGATACTTGTCCGTGGATGGAGGAGCTGGGTTTCGGCTCAGACGAGGATGGCGATAGCACCACGGTTGATGGAGGCAAGGACAACCTGAGGTTCACGAAAGAGGGCATGAAGAGCAAATGGAGGCCTTACCCTAATATCACCATTGCGATTCTTGCGATCTATGTTCGCCTGGCATCCCCATCGCGCGCGCAGCTACATCTGCTGTTGGCCTGCCTGCGGTACGTAGACGAGGACGGAGTTGGACTGGCACCTGGCGACGTTCCGTTAAGCGCGGACCACTTCGAGAGAAATACCAGGGTCCTCACGCCTCTTCTTAAAGTCGTCGAACGCAAGGTCAGGGAAAAGGACGGCACGGTCACCTCAGCGGTGTCATTCTCCCCTGCTGCTCTTCTTCAAAGGTCGCTGGAGTCGCCAGGCACTGTATCCGATCTGCTAGCTAGCCGGGAGGGCCACGTGTTGACGGCGGAGGAAGGAGCAGACAACGGGGTCGTTGGTGAGCACATCATGCCCGTAGCCACTACGCCACTTGGCGGTCTGCGCCGCGGCTTCCTTCACGGGAGGATTGCAGCATCTTCGGCCCTCATGAGTATCGAGTCGCTCAGGGTCGGTCCCGATGGAGGTGGAGGGAGTGTTGTTGTCGGGGATACCGTGATGGTCCTGTCCAGCGACGGCGGGAGTGAGCAGCTTCCACATCGCCTAGCGGCCGTCACGTGGGACGAAGAGGAGGAACGCTTGGTGGCGAGGGTGAACCCGTTCCTTACGACAGAGGCCGCATTATTAAACAATCCACCGGCAGTAGAAGAGGAACGACTGCCTCTTGTTTGGGAAGTTGTCACCGACGATGGGGGCGAAAGGGTGGACCTCACCCGGATCACGACGCGTTGCGACGTTATTCCTCTTGCCCAAGAGGCCGGGGCCGGTTCGAGCGCTCGTCGGTTATACACCTGCGCCGGGTTTATTCGACCCGGGCGGAGCAAGGGCATATTCAGAAAAGTGTGGGCACCGGCCGGTAAACCTCGCCTTCTGGCGTGGAGGTTCGCCGGTCTGGACAACCTTTTCTTCGACCGGCGCGCCAAGGGCGTCTTCGCAAACACCTCTCAGCTTCCGGTCTTCTCGGTGCCCCTGGTAATTTTTACCGATGCCTTCAACTTTTTTCAGCGCATCGGCAACGCCTTCTCGGTGAATGCCACACACTTCAGCATCGGGTCAACTACCCGGTCCCACCGCCGCCGCCTTTCATCATGGCACCTGAGCAACCTCGGGGCGCCCAGAGCAAGATGGGAGGAGGAGCTGGAGCACCTGTTCAAGATCATTGGAAAGATGCAAAACGGTTGCCGAGCGCGGCTGCGAATCGGCGACAAAACGATCACTGTGAGAAAAGGTCGTGCTTGCTTGTATGTTAACATGGTTTGTTTCTGTTCTTGAGTTTGATTTTTGTTTCATCTTAACTGAATGACATCCGGTTGTTGCAGCGCACTCTTTTTTCTCCCGGTTTGAATGACGCTGTCCAATTAACGTTTTCTCATGCCTAAATGGTGTTTATAGGGGTATGTGGAGTATGTTGGTCCGCATGGTGCATGATGACCACAGCAGTATGGGTTCGAGTTTTGAACGCTGATTTTCTTCAGTATTAATGCTGATTGTTGGCGAAACCAAGAATCAAAACATCGTCAGCGAACATCGATCACGACCGGAATTACCGCCATGCAATTACATTCCCGCCAGACGCTTTCCGCCGTACTTTGGGTGTAGGGCCGTCTTGCAATGCGGCCCCGCCTGTGTCCGCCCAAGAAATCGGTGCCGGCGACAACGGTGGTTTTACCAAAGAGGTTGCGCTGGTGCATGCGAAGCGAGACGATGTATGCATACAACCTATAACAGAATACGCGCGTGACTTCCAAGTGCACAACGCACCTGCCGCCCGCTCTCCAACCTACCGCACATGCTAACGGCAGGTATTCTTTCGATCGGGCGTGGTAGCAATCAACGGCGACTCCCCCGTGCAACACGTGATCTGCAACTGCAAGCAGTCCGGCGGCAGCACCTGGATGCC